AAGATACTGACATTTAGGGAAATGAAGAAGAGAAATTAAATAATATCACTATCAGAAAAGAGGATGTTCTTAAGAAGATAAATGAATTAAAGAAGACAAAATCCCCAGGACCGGATGAAATTTTCCCTCGAGTGTTGAAAGAGTGTAAGGAACATATTAACGGACCCCTCGTAAATTTATTTACAAAATCGGTAGATACGGGAGTTGTGCCAGTCTTGTGGAAACAGGCAAATGTAGTGCCCATATTAAAAAAGGGTGACAGAACATCAGCGTCAAATTACTTGCCGATTAGTTCGACGTCAGTAGTAGGGAAATTTCTTGAATCAATTATAGCACAAATACCATCCGAACGCATTTAGAGAAAAACAAATTAATCTACGATTCTCAACAAGAATTTACAAAGGGATAAACTTGTCTAAAAATCAGCGGACGTTTTTTTTAGGAAAGTCTTCGAGGTAGTAGATAATGACAAAAATTACTATGTTATTTACTTAGACTTCAGCAAAGTGTTTGACAGAGTACCGCATCAGAGGCTTCTGAGAAAAGTTAAGGCTCATGGTATCGAGGGGAAAGTTTTAAATTGGATAAAAACATGGCTTGCTGATAGAACACAGAGGGTCACAATAGATGGTGTTAAATCTGAGTGGGGATGTGTAACCAGTGGGGTTCCCCAGGGGTCAGTACTGGGCCCACTCCTGTTCATAATCTACATAAACGATCTAGATACTGGGATCAGCAGTGACATAAGTAAGTTTGCGGATGACACCAAAATAGGGCGGCAGATTAAATAAGGTAAGGATGCAAATGCACTACAGGAGGATTTAAATAAACTGCAGGAGTGGTCAGTTTTTTAAGTAGTGGAAAGCATAATGTACAGTTGGTTTTGTTTCTATAATAACGTCGACTGGGAACAACCATAAGGATTTGATCGTGGACACGATTGGGTAATCTGTGTTCCTCTCGAGTGATGCCCCCCCTCCCCCTCACGCGACCTGTGACCTCACCAGATGCGCCAAGCGGTGTTGACGCCTGGCACCCAGGAGTGTTTTCACCGCTGGTGTCAGTACTGAGGAGTGAGTATTGGCGTGTGAGTGCGGTGTTTACGGAGAAGAGGTCCTGAATCTGCTAATGTTTGGTTTAAAAGGCGGCGTGGCCACCTGGACTCTTTGCCACCGGGATTGTCATCACCACTGGCGTAAGTGCTGGCATCGTCGGGAGTGTTTTCACCGCTCGCGTCAGCACTAGTGTCAGTGCTGACGTTTTTGCTGCCTTACCCGAACAAAGATTGGGGGGTGGGCGGTGTTCAAGGAGAAGAGGTCCTGATTCCGCTAAATGAATGGCTTAAAAGGGTAGCGTGGCTGCCTTGACTTGAGAAGATCGCTCACTCAAGTGATGCTGTGAGGACCAGCCCTCCCCTCGAGTGATGCTGTAAGAGGCAGCCTCCTGCTCGCACTGATAAACACCACACAATCCTGTCCAAGAATTTGTGCTGAGACAATTTACACAGTACTGTTGTCTCTTGGAACACCATACTGATCTGCATTGACCCGCACTTGTAAGTACATCATAAGTGAAGGCATACCCCTCGGTACTGAAATATTGTTGAATAATAACGTCTTCTCGTTTCTGCCTAAGACAATGCAGAATGAAGCAAAGCTAAGATTAATAGAGTAATGAACTTTGTATCATGTCACTATGCTCAAGAGACAATTATAATTAAGACAAATTGCGTGAGACTAACTGATTATGTATCAGATAGATCACCATGTAATACTAACAACAATATTAACATGGCTGAGCCAGTTGCGAACCTGAACTCTCCTGTAGGCACCTGATATATACTATACATTTATCTTAAGGAAGAATTTTGTAACATTTAGTAACATCTGGAATAGTGCAATAGCATGGTGGTACTAAGAACATCTCATAATGTTATAACGGTTAACACTTCAATATTTATGTCATGGTTTTGGGTGGATCGGTGGTAGTAGGAGTGGATTATATTATATAAAGATAATAACATGTCGTATTTCTTATTTCTTACCGTAGAGTCCGATACCTTCACACTGATTACTTACAGGAGATTATGGCGTATCTACATAGAAGTTCACTCCACCACTCGACATTCCATGATTTATACTTGATAAATGATGATTTAATGAATTCATTTAATTTTCAACATCCATCTAAGTTATTGGTTATACTATGTCATAACCAATCAGTCATTACCTTCAGTAATAATAAGATAGGATTACAGATACGGGCAGATAATTGCACTTACATTTATTTGTCAAGCTTCCATACAATGATTTACAATTTGCATGGATATATGATTCACTCACGTTCACGCTGTAATAAAATTAATCTTCTAAAAGAGAATTTTAACTTGGGGACACATGTGATTACTCTACTATGGGTATAACTTAACAGAGCCTTAATTCTTCAAGTGATACATTTACTGCCATCCTGGATTGCTTTTGTTGCAACCAGGCTTCCGCACAAGAACTTCTTTCCACGGGCCACAGCAACAAAAAGTACTCTTGGGTTACCACACATGGTGTCGTGCAGGAGAACTCTGTAAGCGTGACTTGAATTTACCATTTAGGTGCAATAGACCAGCCTGGATTGCTCTTGTCGCAACCAGGCATCCACACGTGATATTTCCACGGGGATAACAACCTAGGTTAACACACTTAGTCTCGTGTCGACGACGGTTCACAGGACGGAGTGGCGGTGGAGGACTCTGTGTGGTGTGGTGTCCCGCCCCCTTTCAGGAGGGAGAGGACGGAGACGACGTCTTAACTAACCCATGGCTCAGGGTATACTACTTAAAATGAGGTTTTTGGGTGTGAAGCGATGAACAGTACAACACTGTTTCACTGCCCACCCCCCTAAAGGCAGGCTAACATACACTAATTGAAAAATACATGTCCCAGTTATGCCTCGCCGGGCGTCTTATCTCTGGTAAAACAAACTTTGGAGTTGGTTGCGTGGGTAAGCCTAACGCAACCCATGACAATTTATTTATTTTATTTATTTATTATTTTTATTTTTTGTATTCATATTATAAGTATATACACAAATTACAGTGGAATTGAAAAATATAAATATAATGGGAAAGCAGTACAACATGGGTTATACAGTATTAAGTTTGAACAAGAGGACAGAGCTGTCAGGATTATGTCTAGTTGGCAAATACTGTATATTTATTGCAATGGTAATTTCTTATCTATTTACATGATAATTTCCGATAAAACGGTTTTGATGGTACAATAAGAGCAGGTATTACAAGAAATATCAATACTTAGACAATAGATATTTGTTAAGAGATAATTTCAAGGAATGGAGCGTAGTCTTTGCTCGGATGGGTGGGGGCTAAGTTGTTTCACACCATGATATTTTATGGTTGTCTTAGTAGCTCTGATTATTCCGAAACTGGAAATAATTATTGTCAAGCAAGTTATTGATAGATTTTAAACAAAGAGGGCCCAGCAGTACGTGTTAATATCTTCGAATTTGACATTATCAATTTAGCAAATTTGTCGTTTGTGTGATCTGTTTTTTTCAAGTAGGTCATTGTCCGTACAACTCTGTTTTGTACAGTAACCAGGGATTATGTTTTTGAGGAGCCAGAGGCCCACTGGAAATACCCAAACTGTAATAGCTACAATAACGGAAATTATGGCAATAGAAAAAGGCAAGGGGAACCAGATCAATATAATTTTAAGGGACGTTTCTAAGGTTTTGATGAAGTTTGGCATTCGGGCTTAAAATATAAAATATTAAAATTGGGACTTAGCGAACACTTGCTAAGAATATTGTGTGACTATTTAGAGAATAAGAGAGCACAAATTCAAATTGGAAACTTAATGAGAACTTTGTTTAATCTCGAGAGTAGAGAACCTCAAGGAGGATGTATTTCTCCAACACTAAATACAATATAAACCTCGGACACATCTCAACCCACCCCCTTTAGAGAATATGTAATGTTTGCTGATGATATCCCTCAAATAGTATCATACCCAGGAAAAGCAGCCCAATTTATGGCATGCTACACGGCAACTGCGATAAAAACATAAATGACTGAGAAAAAATGAAAAATCAGGACAAATAAGAGCAAATTCAAGATAATACCAATAGCCAAGATCAAAACAAGTCCAGTAATAGTCGACCGGGAACTACACCTATACATAAGAACATAAGAATGGAGGAAACTGCAGCGGGCCTATTGGCCCATACTGGGCAATCCCATTTACATCCAACCCTTATCACTCATACTTGTATATTAATCCAACCTATGTTTGACGCTGCCCAGCGTATTCGAGTAAATGATGATGTTTGGTAACTTGTTCCACTCATCCACTACTATATTTCCAAATCAATGTTTACAAATTTCGTGCCTAAATCTAAATTTGTCTAATTTAAAACCATTGTTACGAGTTCGCTCCTGGTTGGATAGTTTGAGTACCTTTGTAACGTCCTGTTTGTTTAGCCCTGAACTCCATTTATACACCTATATCATATCGCCCCTCACTCTACGTCTCTCGAGTCAGTGCAAATTAAGAAGCTTTAACATGTCTGAACACAAGGTTCCTAATGACCGGGATTAGTCTTGTCATTCTCCTCTGAATTCTTTCCAATGATTCTATATCCATCAGTATCTTTGTAATATCCCCTTTGTTTAGCCCTCAATTCCATTTAAATACCTCTATCAGGTCGCCCCTCGCTCTACGTCTCTCGAGAGAGTGCAAATTAAGATGCAAATTTATTTGCCAGCGGGCCAAAGTTAAAAATGCTTTGAAAACCTTGAAGTTAGATGTAGGATAGATGATTAGTGGGTCCCATATTTTTAC